CACTCGCTCTCAGCTCTGCCTTCGGATGAGTCCGTAGAGTCGAGTGGTCCGTATCCAGAGCTTGTGGGCTGCCTCATGTACCTGATGACCTGCACTCGACCTGACCTCGCATACCCTCTCAGCATCTTAGCACGCTATGTTGCTCCCGGCCGTCACCGGAAGGAGCACATGGATGCAGCTAAGAGGGTGTTGCGCTACTTGTGCAGTACGTCGGGCATGGGGCTAGTGCTTGGAGGGCGAGAGCGGCCTGTGCTCACTGGGCACTCAGACGCTTCTTGGGCTGACGACCAGGCTACTCAGCGGTTGTCTCAGGGTTACACCTTCAGTCTTGGCTCTGGCTCTGTCTCTTGGCGCTCTACTCGCTCTTCTTCGGTTCTCAGCTCCAGCTGTGAGGCTGAGATCTACGCCACGGCCATGGCTGCCCAGGAGCTTCGCTGGCTCACCTAACTGCTGACTGACCTTGGAGAGCGGCCTCGTTCTCCTCCAGTGCCTACGTCGACAACAAGGCAACCATTGCCTTGTGTCAGGAGCACAGACTGGAGCACAGGACGAAGCACATGGCTCTGCGCTACTTCCTTGCTCGAGAGCTGCAGCAGCGTGGTGAGCTTCGCCTGCGTTTCGTGGCCACTGAGGCCAACACTGCTGATGTGTTCACCAAGGCACTTCCGCCTCGTGACCATCAGCGCTTTTGCACTCTGCTAGGCCTTGTGCCCACTGGGCCTCACTTGCTTACCTCTTGACCTTGCTTGTACTGCTGCATATATATATCCTTGCTCTTGCTTGTTTAGCACTGTTATATATATGCTCTGCTGCATGTGAACTGGCCTTGTGGCCTTGACCTTGTGCTCGGAATTTGTGTGGTATCCTTGAGATCCACCCTGAGCTTGCTTTGCTTTGCTTTGCTTTACTTGACTGGTCTTGTGACCCCTTGCTCTCCCCCACTTTGCCTATGGGGGTGTGTCAGATGATTCTATTGCTGATGCATATATGTAGGCTGTAGTGGGGTAGCCCATAGGGGGTACAACCCAATTAGGGTTGGTACTTGTACTTGTTTCATTTCATAGTGCATCATTCCTCGCCTCTATCTCAACATACGCCGCACGCCAGCGGGGTGGGGATACTGGTCCGTGCACCTACGTCCTACGCACCGGCGACCACGCGGGTGAGCAGTGCGGGGGTGCGCACTCCACCCAGCGCTGCTTTGGCCGCCTGACGGACGCTTGGCGCCACCAGTTCCCTGAGGCCACTGAGATCCCTCGCTGGGGCGAGCTGTCTAGGGCGGGAGTAGCTATATTTGACCTTGACTTTGATGCTATTCTTGCTGCCATGTATGCTGTGACTATTAGTGATGAGGGTGACTGTTACCGGTGTTTCCCGCCCGACCCGGGCATTGAGACTGCTGCTCTAGGTACTGGTGAGGCTGCTGCTCTAGGTGCTAGCGAGGCTGTTGCTCTAGGTGCCAGTGCGTCTGCTTCCTCAGGTGCTGGTAGGTCTGCTCTCTCAGGTACCGCGTCGGCTTCGGCCTCCCACACCTTCACCCTTGACTCGGGGGCTTCTCGCTCCTTCTTTCGAGACCGCACCACACTCACGCCACTTGGTCGGCCAGTTGCAGTCTCTCTGGCAGACCCCTCTGGGGGTCCTGTCCTTGCTCACTTCTCCACTGTCCTCCCGTGTCCGACGGCCCCCTCTGGCACCCTGTCTGGTCTTTACCTCCCCTCGTTCTCTATGAACTTGGTGAGTGGTGCTGACCTACAGGATGCGGGGGTTCACCAGTTCACTCCTGCGAGTCAGCGGGTGACCCACTGCACGGACGCTCGGACAGGCCGACACCTGGCCACGTTTACACGTCGGCCGGGGTCGAGCCTGTACACACTGACCACTGAGTCTCCTCTAGTCACTGCGTCTGGTCAGGAAGCTGCGTCGGGTCAGGTGTTTGCTGCAGCGTCCTAGGTCTGGTCCTGAGTCTGCCCCCTGCTCGTGTCGCCTCCTGTCTCACGAGACTCTCCTCTGGCACCACCGCCTTGGTCACCCCTCCCTACTTCGTTTCCGAGGCATGGCCTCCCGCCTCCTTGTCTCTGGTCTTCCCCGGTCCCTCCCTCCCCTTCCTCCGGGGCCTGCCCCTGCCTGCGTCCCTTGTGTCGAGGGGCGGCAGCGGGCTGCCCCTCACTCCTCCCTAGTTTCCTCCGAAAGAAGCCCCACTGCAGACGCTTCACATAGACGTGTGGGGCCCGGCCCGCGTCCGTGGACGGGGTCACGAGCGCTACTTCCTGCTGGTGGTTGACGACTACTCGCGTTACACAACAGTCTTCCTCTTGCGCAGCAAGGGTGATGTCACGGGGCCAGCAGAGACGGCGCCGAGGCAGGGAAGGGCGGCGCCGGGACCGCAGGGGTAGGCGACGGGGCCTAGCAGAGGCGGCGCCGAGGTAGGGAAGGGCGGCGCCGGGGCCGCAGGGGTAGGCGACGGGGCCGCTAGGGCGGCTAGGAGGGGGGGGTCGCGAGGGCGGCTGAAAGGGCCGCGAGGGCGGCGCGAAAGGGCCGCGAGGGCGGCGCGACGCGACAGAGCCGCGAGGGCGGCGCGACGTGAAGGGGCCGCGAGGGCGACGCGACGGGGCCGCAAGCACGACGCGATGGGGCCGCTAAGGCGGCGCGACAGGGTCGAAAGGGCGGCGCGACGGGGCCGTGAGAGGGGAGCGCGACTCGGGCAGTGTAGAGCACGCTCCGGGCAGGAAAAAAAGGTGGTGGGCCCTAGGAACAGTTCCCACAGGGGAACCTACTCGATACCATGAGAAAATGAACGAGAATGTAGTAAAGTTTAGAATGAAGAAGGAGAGGTTCACTAGAAAGCAGCAGGATACATATAGGAAACCCTAAGGGGTTGTGCTCGCTATAGAGTACCCCACTGTAGGCTAGAGAACAATAACATTCTGACATTGATATAATATGCCTAGGCCTCGTTGTTTTCTCAGTAGTTGTAATCACTTCCGCGATATTGCATTCTGCGCAATCTTCTTTCGTACAGCTCGTAACAGCTGTAATGGCATTGTGACCACATGATGTAAGCTTCAGTAGTGTAAGGATCTACAAATCCTTACTGAGGCACTCGTTAACGAGGCTATCCCGAGGGTCACGCGACAAACCTGTTGGGCCTATTTCGTCGCACCGAACCACCCCCCCGAGTCGGCCTCCGCTCCAATCGCAACCATCACCGAGCCATCCCATCCCGAACCCCCCGCCTAGTTAGGTTTTCCCCTATTTAGGCCTCGCTACATTGTTTTTCATTCAGTGATTCAGTACCGTAATTCTCATTCTCGTTATTCGATATTCTGCGCACTCTGCAAGTTCATTCATAACAAGTAGTACTAAATCTTGGGAGATGTTCTTCAAAAGGCAAAACAGAAGCTCTATTGGCACTTAGGGTACATTCCTGCCTTGACACTTGTGTCTCGATGCCTGGTTTCCCGAGTCGCGCCTGTAAATTGGCCTATCTACGCGTCACAAAAAAATGGATGTACTGCGACATCGAGCGACTCAGAGTGTTGTACACCTGTCGACTTGCAATTGGACCCGCACATTTTGAAGCGAGCGCTCTCACTTTGGCGCCGGGCAGGCAGGTTAAACCAGGTGTTCCAATCGATGATGGGGCGAGTTGGCGAAACCACCAACCACCACACAGCCACAATGCACCTACAACTACAACTACAACTACAAACATAAAAACGCAAAGCATGCACAGCAGGGCCCCCACTCAAATCAGCCATGGCAGAACCCAAGGCTTGTTCCCTTCCTCATGCGACTCCTAGTCGCATGGATCTCGTTCTACTACGGCATCTTCATGGACGGGGTCGCCAAGGGGGTAGCCGGCTTGCTGGAGTTGCAAGTCTTCGACGATGAGAACACGTCTACCGCGACCTCTCACAGCTCCACCAGGTCCGCCGAGCGTGCAAGAAGAGGCAGCTTGAGGCGCTGGTGTTACGCGTTGGTGCTCAAGGACCTGCAGGGAATGGGAGACGGAGAGTTTAGGGACATTTACCGAATTAACAGGGCGATTCTCGCCCATGTGGCCGAGGGCATGAAGCACTACATGCAGCCGTACGTGGACCGTTACTACATTACCCACGAGGTTGCAAACCTTGTGCCGATCAAGTACCTGGCGAGTGGACCCTCCTACGTAGACCTTTCTCACCTATTCGAGTTGACGAAAACATTGTGCCACGAGCTCGTCGATGTGTGGCTGATGCATTTCGCCACGGTCTTCAAACAACAGTGGGTGCACTTCCCCACCCGCGACGACCTTGACGAAATGGCCGAGGAGTTTCGCTCCGTGAAAGGGGTACCTGCGGTTGTGGGGGCTATTGATGGGACACACGTACACATGAAGGGGATGGAGGGGCACAGGCAAGAGTACTGGACACGCAAGTCCGCATACGCCGTGCAGTTGCAGGTGACGTGCGATGCACGCGGCATCATCTGAGACTTCCTTATCGGATACCCTGGGAGTGCACACGATCAACGCGTGTTCATGGACAGTGCGTTACATGACAGGTTGCAAAACGGCGACATTGCACCGTACCAAATAGTCGGTGATGCAGCCTACCCCCTTCGGGATTTCTGCCTAACCCCCTTGCATGCACCCCGCGAAGGCCTAATGGAGGATTGGGAGCAGTGCTTCAACTACTGCCAGAGCACGACACGCATGGCAGTGGAGCGCTGCATCGGCGCCTTCAAAGGCAGGTGGAGGCTCTTCGCAGGCCGCAATGAATGCACGCAGTGGCGCGTCCTTGCAGGGGCGTCTTGTTGTGTGGTCCTGCACAACATGTGTGAGACGATGGGGGACGTGAGGCGTGTCAATGAGGTATGGGCAAACTTGCCACGGAACCGGGATCCTTGGTGGACCCGCGGCGCAGCAGCAGAATTCAAGTGGGAGCCGGCCATGCCGTGCAATCAGGCGACTCTCCGTGAAAGGCGGAAGAGGCTCGGTGAAGCGTTGGAGTCTTCCTACCTTACACGACGTCGCCGCGAACCCACACTTCCTCGGCCTCGTCCGGAGTAGCTTCGCCACCGCCGTGATCACCGCGGCGGAACCAGACTCCGTCGTCGCCTTCGGCGGCGGCCGCTGCGGGCTGTGTGGCGGCACCAGGGGCTCCGTTGACGGTTGGTGGCGGAGGGGCTGGCGACTGGTTGCGGGCGCGAGCAATCTCGGCGTCCTGCTGCATCCAGGCGCGGACGAGCCCCTCCAGCTTTGCCATCGCATCCGCGTGGCAATCCTTGATGGTGTCGGAGACAAGTTTTGCCGCGGCCATGGTAGCCGTCTCCGCTACTCGTGGGCGCTTGGAGGGAGGCGTCACGGGAGGGGGGGCTGCACATTCACATGTAACAGTAGGCCCGAATGAGTTTGCTGTGATGTTGTGCCTTATGACACCAAGGTTAAATGACAATCATGTTGCACATCTATGCGTACCAACAAACAAAGCGAACACGCCCAAAGCAACGGAAAATGGCTCACCCGTGAACGTGGGCGTTGAGGTGCATGGCGCGGACGTCGACGGCACCGCGAAACCGCATGGCACATTCACGTGTGTGGCACCACCGGCGGCGACGGCGTGCGGCGCCGCGACTGCACGGTTATTCTGAAATAACACCATGTACGGCCACCATGGCGGCTTACACACCACCCCGTTGCCGGACGCCTTGTCCGCCTTCTGCAGCTGCTTGTACATTTGGACGAGGTTGTGCCACCGTTTCTGCACGGCGTTGACGCCGCGGACCCATCCGGTATTCTCGGTCTCGATGTGGCGCACGAGGCGGGCCCAATACTGGGATCCCTGCTTCCCCAGAAGCGGCTCCAGCTCATCCTTCATGAACCAGCGGGCGGCCACGAGAATCGTGCTCTCCGTGGGCGACCACACACTGCGCTTCACCGGCATGGGCTCCCGGGTCTTTGGCGCGCGTCGAGGTGGCTCCCCTCCCTTGACGGCGCTCTTGTCCCCCTGTGCCGCCTTACCATGACCGCGGCGAACAGGCGGAGTTGCGGGCTGCGATTCTTCCGGTGCGTCGTCGTCGTCGCTCTCCGCGTCGGAGTCGGACATGCCCTTGTCAGGCTCTTCTCCGGAGTCCGCGTCGTCGTCCGTGCCGTATGCCTCCTCGTTGTAGTCTGCATCGTCCTCGTCCTCGTCGTACGTGGTAGCCTCGAGACTGCGCGAAGAAGCCACACGGTCGGCGTTACGGCGCCCGCGCGTCGGGACGTCACGGGGGACCTGGTAAGAGGTGTCGCCACGCGAAGGAGTGTTCACTGGCTGCGGGCCGGTCGGCTTGCGCCCAGAGGACAGCTGCTTGTGCAACCAAGCAATATGCGGGATCTCATTGAGATCCCGCGGGGTCACGTTGGCGGCTTCAGCGGCGCTCTTGCGCTTACGAGCCATGGCGCTGAGAGGGCTACTGAGCTTGCGGGTCCCAGAAACAAGAAACACTGAATGGACTACCGAGAAGATGGAATCGAAGTCATCCTAGAAGCAGGTTGGAGAGGAGGCTCTAGATCTGTGGTGGTTTCGTCGGGCAGCCTTGCGTGTATCACACAAAATGGTAACCCCTTTCGATGCTGCCCAGGGATGGCGGGTTTGTCTCCCGCGCTAAACTGTCAAGGGGTCCAGCGTCCAGGTGCATGCGGCAGGGCAGTGGAATTGCTTGACATTGATCGTGCGTGCGATTTCACGGCGTTGACGGGGCCTCGTCCAACTCGTCCGCGACACCGGCGCAAATGACGCTGACCAATGTAAAATAGGGTTACTTTCGCATTAGGGCGACACGTGTTTGTGACATAGCACGTTCTATGCTGTTTTTGAGCGTCACAATATATTCGAGACACAAGTGTCAAGGCAGGAATGTACCCTTAGTATTTGCACAACAATATTTGAGCTTTGAGGAGCGATGATATTCGCCCTGTATCTACATGAACAAGCACCCCATCATCATATACCTGCTATTAGACAATATAGTAATTGCGGTCTGGTTGGAAGACCTATGACGTAACTAGCACAGAACACCAGCAATTGCATCTGGATGGAGGTAGACGGGTAGTGTGAGAACGCTGCTGTGTGTCCGTTGCTAAATCACCCTTGTTTCCTGTACCTTCTCACCAGTCCACCGCATTCTTCTCCGTGTGCGCGACTCACTCACTCACTGTCCTCTATGCACGTAAGTCTCACTCTACCTTGAGATAGCACACCTCTGCTCACCACCACTCATCCCCCTCTGCTCACCGCTCAACCCCCTCTGCCCATCACTGCTCTTTCCCCTCTGCCCATCACCGCTCTTTCCCCTCTGCCCATCACCGCTCTTTCCCCTCTGCGCATCAACCCCTCCCAGCGAATCGGCTGCCCACTGTTGCCGCCGCCGCTGCTGCTCCTGCTGCCGCAGCATCCTTCCAAAACCACCCGACTCTGCAAACTGCGTTGAGACATTCTCTCTCAACACACTACTATAGACGCCACCCACAGCCAATCAAACCGGTGAACCCACCTTTTCATCCGGGGCTGCAATAGCTTTGGGATTCACGCTCGCAAAAGTAACCCCAGGCACGCCGAAGCTCGGAGGCTTGCTTCGGAAACCACCCGAACCTAACAGCCCTTCGGCCAATTTCGTCGCTCCTTTCGTCGCTCCCTCCGCCAACTCACTTATATCCGCCAAGTTCACCGCTCTGGGCCTGGTCGCCCCACCCCCTTCCCTGTAACTCCCCCCGCGCATATTCTTCAGCATCGACTTCAGCCTCGCAGTTCGGCTCTTTCCCTCTCCCTCCCCTCCTTCCTTCCCTTCTCCCTCTCCCGCTCCCCCCGAGCTGCTCCCAGTCGCCATCTGCCGCAGCTGCTGGGATTGAATCTTGGCCAGATTCTCGTTCCAACGCCAGATATCCCCATCCATGTCTTTCGACCACTCCGGAAGCTCCCTTTTCTCGATGAAGTGTGCAATCACACGCAGGATACGAGGATCACGGAAGTATGCTCCATGGTTGAGATCGAACTTGCCAGTCAGCTCTCCCATTCGCTCCTCAATCATCACGCACAGCTGCTGCAACTGCCGCTCAAACTCGCGCTCGCTCAGCCGCGGGTTGCGCCCGATTTTGTTCATTTGGGACTTGAGCCGCTGGAAGGTCTGCGACTGCTCCGCTATTATCGCCAGCTCTTGATCGTCCCACAGGAACTCGTACACTAGCTTCTCTCTGCCACTGTCCTCTGGTGCTTCAGGCACAGGTACCATTCTCTCCTTTTGACTGCTTGGGTGCTGCTGTGTGTCAGAGGAAGCAGCTAGCCCTGGGCTTGAAGCGGCGGCGTCAGAACCACCGGAAGCACTACTGGATAAACCAGCAGCAGCAGTAGCAGCATCTTCCACCATACCTGCTCCGTCTGCGTCATTCACACCCCCCTCCCCGATTTCCTCCACCGCTGCTGCTCCTTCCATAGCAGGCGGGGTAGTGAGACGGCCTTGTTCCTCCCCTCCTGCCTTGGTGCCAATTCTCCCTGCCATTCGCCTCTCCACCACGCTCCGAAACCCCTTTCGAGGTGGCTTGTGAGCGGACTCGCCAGTAGTCCCTGCAAGACGCATTTCCACCACATCCCCAAACCCCTTGCGCTTGTGAACCCCGTCCTTGCTCTGATTCACCTCCACTGATGTAGCAGCAGCAGCAGTGCGGGGAGAGCGGAGAGGAGAGCGCGAGACGTGGGGGTGGGGGGAGTGTGACACGGGTTCCAGCCACTCGGGTTGCTCCACTGTGTCGTCCTCATAGCCGGGCATCAACTCTCCCTTGAGTGACTTGGTCTTCGCCTCTGCCAGCAGTTTCTGGAGAGAGGGGAGGGGGGAGGAGGGAGGAGAGGAGGCAGCAGCGGAGAGGAAGGGTGGGTGAGGTGGTTGCGAGAGGCAAGGATGAGAGCGAGAGGAAGATGGAAGAGAGTGGGAGTGGGAACTGCCTCGAGCGAATTCGTAGTCATCCCTGACATCAACTCCTCGAGCGAATTCGTCTTTGCCTCTTCCAGCAGTTTTTTGCGATAGTAAGGGATTGTTCTAGAACTCTCAAACGTCATAGGCACCAGTTTGGGAACACCCACCATGACTGCTCGTCATGCACTCCACTTCCAAAAACCGTATCATAAACAGTTAAAACAACAGTGGGGTTGAAATTCTCTTATCCCCGTCATTCTGTGGTTGGTATTTAGGCTTGTACTAATATGGTTGTTTTATGTTGTAACGGTACTGCAGACTATCCATGGTGAATTCTAGCAGCAGGAGAGACATGTTTGTTTGCATCATGATCATCATCCCCACTGGAGTTGGATTATTTGATGCACTAAAAGGCATCCACAGCCTTTTCCACTTGCTCGCTTGCATGCATATTTGTGTTTGGCTACTTGTTACCGTGGTTAAATAAAATGTTGACTCTTTTATTTACCGTTTACGTGAACTTCGGCCTAACCATATGTCCACGTGTCCGTTTACCATATTACGCATAAAGCTGGCTGATTAGGCGGAACTTAGTTTTGAGAGGGAGGGAGAGGAAAACTGATAACGGAAGTGACTTGCACAAGAGTGAAGCGAACTTTGCACACCGATTCCGCGTCACTCATGACTGCCATCGGTATTGTTAGAGCAGGCGGGAAAAAACATCTATCTCGGAAATGATTTTGACGAAGTTAGTTGAACTCGGAGGAATGAAATACTTGACGGGGGTTGATGAACTACTGTCGAAAATTTGAATGACCAGCACATAAGGGGAATTGGAGTGAAGGAGATAAACGAGAGGCGCTTTCAGGCAGGGGGGGAGAAAGTCGTGGATGGAATAAGGGGGGAACGAGATGCGCGAACAGGAATCGGGGGAGAGAGATTTGCGCGAAAGAGAATCTCGAGGGAGGGAAAAGTGCGAAAGGGGTTGCGGTGCGGACAGGAAGGAGAACAACGATTTGGAATAACTGTATGAAACAGTAAAAAGATTCAGGATTTTCGCATATGTTTGGCATAATATCTGCAAATCCAGCCAAGACTAGGATACAGCTAAGGATAGCAGGTAAAAAAACCTTCACCGCTTGTTAATGTAACACAAATCAGTGTTCCTAGAGGTGGACAAAAGCGCGTGACATAAAGAGCGGAAAACGAGTGGCAACGAGAAGGTGGGGAAGAGAGGTTGTCGATAACTGGGCAACGATTGAACACACCTGCACATTCCATTGGTCGACTTGTTGCGAGGCCAGGTCCAAATCCAGATGCTCATCCACATAAATATACGCGTGGTTCAAATCCCCGGCCGACAGCCCGAAGCTGATCGTCACCACCATCTTCTGAATCGTCCCCGTGACGATGGGCGCGATGATGTGCGAGCAGACAGACATGATGGCGGCCGGGAGGAAGAAGAGTGTGTCCCACACGAGGATGATGGCGCAGTGGAATAGGAACGCCCACCAGTCCACCTGGCGTGCGTAGCGGGTTGGGGGCTTGGGGAAGGGCGCCCAGGGGGTCTGCTTCAGGAGTTTTGTCAGGTGGGGGAAGACGTAGGCTCGCGTGATTGGCTCCATGGATAGAGCTAGACTGGCCTGTTGAGTTTAAAGGGGGGGAGGAGAGGTAGTGGAGAGAAAGGCCAAGAGGAGGTGGCAAGAGGAGGGGAGGAGGAGGGAGGTATGAGGACATGCCAATGATGGGAAGGCGAGAATTCCCTCCTTGCTAGCATGGAAAAGTCTTGATGCGCCTAAAGTTTGATGCGCGTCAAAAGATGATGGTAACGAAAGAGCGCTCACCTCGTCTAGCTTGCCAGCGTGGATAACGAGCGCTGACATGGCAGGCGACCAATCAAAGGCCGGGTTGTGGTACAGATTGCCGCTGTAAAACACTGTGTTGCCCACCGCCTGGAGGGAGGGAGGGAGGGAGGGAGGGAGGGAGGGAGGGAGGGAGGGAGGGAGGGAGGGAGGGAGGGAGGGAGGGAGGGAGGGAGGGAGGGAGGGAGGGAGGGAAGGAGGGAGGGAGGGAGGGAGGGAGGGAGGGAGGGAGGGAGGGAGGGAGGGAGGGAGGGAGGGAGGGAGTGAGGGAGTGAGGGAGGGAGGGAGGGAGGGAGGGAGGGAGGGAGTGAGGGAGGGAGGGAGGGAGGGAGGGAGGGAGGGAGTGAGGGAGGGAGGGAGGGAGGGACGCAGGAGATGGAAGAAGTACAGTCCTCACTACACCCACATCCATGATCTGCTTGACAAGGGCCAGTAGCATGACTGATGTTGCAATGAGTAAGTGACGTTTGACTCGCCTCAACTCAACTCTCACTCCACCTACCCACTCACATCCACCTCTCCCTGTGCCCCTCGAAGACACACCTCCCTGTCCGCTACTCACATCCATGATCTGCTTGATCAGCACCAGCAGCATGACTGATGTTGCAATGAGAAAATGCGGGCCGGACTGGGTGTAGAAGCTGTGAATGGGTGGCACAGAAGAGAAAGGAACGACACGACTTTTGAGAATTCTCAAAGGTGGCACAGAAGAGAAAGGAACGACACGGCTTTTGAGAATTCTCAAAGGTGGCACAGAAGAGAAAGGAACGACACGGCTTTTGAGAATTCTCAAAGGTGGCACAGAAGAGAAAGGAACGACACGGCTTTTGAGAATTCTCAAAGGTGGCACAGAAGAGAAAGGAACGGCACGGCTTTTGAGAATTCTCAAAGGTGGCACAGAAGAGAAAGGAACGACATGGCTTTTGAGAATTCTCAAAGGTGGCACAGACGAGAAAGGAACGACACGGCACACTAAAAGGGACTGCGAGGCAGACTGCGTGCAGCAGTTGGGGGTGAAGGAGGGGTAACAACTTGAGAGGAGTGTGGGGCGAGATCATGGGGGGGGGGGACGAGGGAAACCAACAAGTTGTAGTGGGACGAGGAAAGCGCGAGTTTAAAGGTATCCCATGCATTTGGCTCAACCATTCACAAACAGCACCACACCCAGCCACCACAACCAGCACCGTTCCGAACCACTCTGGCAATGAGCAGAATGATGAACTGCATGAAGGAGGTGTAGGAGATGATGAGGATATACATCACATCACCACCACCGACAGCGACAGCACGCCACCCAACCACCACAAACCGGGACTGCACCCAACCCAACCCAGCCCAGCCCAACTCAACCACTTACTCTTGAAGCCGACCGGCGATGAGGAGGACGATGAACTGGATGAAGGACGTATAGGCGATGATGAAGACATACATCAGCGCCACCAAGAAGAGCAGCAGCCCCATACCAACTAGCACAGAGGCCCAGCAGCACCCCAACCAACCACTCACAACCACCGCAACCAGCACTGCACCGCACCGGACCCAACCACTTACTCTTGAAGCCGGCCGGCGATGAGCAGAACGATAAACTGGATGAAGGACGTGTAGGCGATGATGAAGACATACATCAGCGCCACTGAGAAGAGCAGCGACAGCGCAAACCACAGCAGCCCGTTGCGCTGCCACTTTTTGATGTAGAAGGGCGTGCCGAGGAAGACGAGGGCGCCGAGGGCGTTGGTGATGGGCGAGGTGGCGTGGCGGAACGCCAGGAAGCGCCGCTGCCGCACTGCCGGCAGCCGCAGCAGCGAGTCCAGCCACTGCTGGTACGCCCACGGGTAGCTCTCCTTCACCCCGACGGTCTTCTGTCCGTTGAAACTGTATGTGGAGGGGAGAGAGAGAGAGAGAGAGAGAGAAATACGTGGCTATTCAGTTGCTCTATTTCAGCCTCACTTGCCCTTTGCCCTTGAAAATCTGCGGGGGTTGGGGGACGACGAAAAGGAGGGGTGGATAAAGGAGATGAAAGGTATCAAAAAGCCGAATCTGTTGAAATACTATATAGATTGATTTGTTAGTCCGCCTGTACACCGAACGCCATATCATTCCCTAGTTCACTCCTCCATTTGATCCCTTTCGCCCTCCTCCCTCCCTCCCTCACTGACTCTCACCCTCGGAACATAAACCGACCCTCAAAACACAGCCTACCCTCGGAAAAGAAAACCTTCGAAAAGAAAGCCCTCGGACCACTCACCCTCGGTACACGACGAGGAAGGGGAAGAAGCGCCACCACGATCCGCGCATGTCGATGCGCCGCCACTTCTTGATCAGCTGGTAGCTCCGCCGGTGCGCCACCCAAAACTGCTTCTCCACGGCCGGGTGCCACTCGCCCTTCTGCCGCCGCCCAATTTTCGCCATGTACTGTTCGGGGTGAAAGGGCGATTTTTTTTTTTTTTTTTTTTCAGAATACACTATTGAAGCGCATACAAAACATTGGCAGTCGTAACTGAGGTGAAAGGGTGATGGGTGGGTGTGCGTGGGGGAGGGTGGGGGGGGTGGGAGAGGGGCGTTGAAGCGGAGAGGGGAGCAAAGTGGGAGCGCAAGGGGGAATGGGGGAACGGTGGGCAGTGTGATATGCAGGGGATGTATAGGCTTGCTCGCTTGGTTCCGACCGAATGGACATCGAACCTAAATCATGTGATTCTGTGCGTGCAAGGTAAGCTCTGAAGCCCTCGTTTCACTCACCAGTTCGATCGTCTTGAGCATCACATTGCCGCCGTGAGAATGCGCCACCAGGTGGATTCGAGCTGCAGGGTCGTTCTGAGCGATTTGGTCGATCAGATTGTGCAGCTGAGGGAGGGTAGGTGGAGGCAAGGAAAAATATTGTAGTAGAATCAAAAGTGAGTAAAAAAGAAGAGGAAGAAAGCAAACATTTTTTAGGTTGCGATTAATCTACTAACAGGCAGCACGGAGAAATCCGAATGAAGCACGCCGCAGAGAGCGCGGGGAGTCGTTCTGAACCTTACAGAATTACACACTTGAGGTCATAGTCGTTCGCACGCTGATTTGCGCGCGCTATTGGTCACCACAACGCATTACCACACACCTCACCGCAATCTTTGACCAAACTCACCAGAGAGAGGTTTGGATCAGGGGACTCCCTGACGACTCTCTGGCGACTCCCTGACGACTCCCCGGCGGCTCTCTCGCGACTCTCTGGCGACTCCCTATAGTGACCCGCTGGCGATTCCCTCCCCATCGTCCCCTCACCTTCATCGCGACCGTTACACAGCGACGCCAACTCCCCACACACTTCACCTCCCAGCCCCCCCTCCCCCCTTCCCCCCCCAACTCTTATCCGCTCACCGTCCTCTCATTTCCTCCGCTCACCGTCCTTTCGATTCCGTCGCTCACCTTCATCGCGGCCGTTACGCGGCCGGCGTGCGTGTTGGTGCCGTCCCAGTGAAACGGGTACGGGATTCCCGGGAGTGCGGAGCACGGCAGGTCGCGCCAGATTGCGTTCTCGCCGATGGGTCCCAGCGCGAGCAGCCGGCTCAGCTTCCGGCAGAAGTTCTGCTCGCCAGGAGGCGGCGGTTGGTACCACGTCGGCGCGCCGTCCGCAGGCGGCGCGTCGAACGTGCCGTGGATCACGATTATGTAGTGGTTCTCGCTGTCCGCGTTGAAATCCACGCGTCGCACGCGGATAGGCGCCTCGACGTCTTTTTCTTTCAAGTCCGCGTCCTCTCCGACGCCGTCGCCCTCGCCGTCGCCGCCGTAGTCGCTGGCGTCGCCGCCTGCGACTTTGCTGCCTGGACCGGAGAGCATCGATGATTGGCTGTTGGTGTCGTGCAGAACTCCATCCTGTTCCGCTTCGCTCTCTGGTGACGCGCCATCATTACTGGAATCTTGCCGTGAACTTCGCCGGTCGCGCGCGTCGCCGGAAAATCCGCCTTCCCATGCGGTTCCGTCGTCGGCGCCGTCGGCGCGCTGCCTGCCTGCGACGTCGCTTTCATTCTCGCCAGCGACAGCAGTTGTTGTCTGTAGTTCAGCGTTGTCGCAATCTCGTGATTTCACGAGTGTTGACAGCTGATCGTCGTCCATACTCCTATACATAGTAGTTGAAGCTCAGCCTTTCGAAAGCTTTGTTCAGGTTAAGTCGACTAAGACGTTGCTATCGTTCTCCCCTTCTTATGTATGTGGCATCGTCGCAAAGCTATGGAGCGAACGAGACGTGAATGAGGACGTGGAACATTAGTAAAGTAACTCCTACTATGTAATGCTGAGTGCGACAATGCTGCGTCCTTCCGTCAGTACCAATCGTGCAAGGGCGACTCGGCACCTAAGTTGAAACTAGCGCGTTGATCCTAAAAACTGTAGAGACGTTCGTCTGCAGGCTTGTCTCGGTCTTCCTGAGAGTCCCATCCCGTCACCCAGGTCTAGCTGAACATGAAACTGCTGCTGGCTATCGGTGTGCAGGCTGGCTCTATTCCCTCAAACTCCTGCAACATCCGCAAATTTCGTTTTTGAAGTGATAGTATGCTGTGCTGTTCATAACGTTTTTTAAAATCGGGTACTGTACGTGTCTGGCTTACCCTTTCAGCCTTGCGCCAAACTGAGCTCTCAAGAAGGGAACAAACAGAAAATGCGACAAACACGAACAATTGGAAGAAGCACAACCACAAACGGTCTGTCGCTCGTGTTCGAGGGATAAATGCGCCGTAACCGTTTTGCGACTACGGATTCAAACGGGCAGACGTTCCATGTACAGTACAGTCTCGGCCGCTGTACGTGGGGTACCGGATATGTGTTTTGTATATGGTTATCACGGTTTGGCACCAGCATGCAAAGCTAGAAGGATCCTCTCCTCTGCGAAATTAGCCTTTTACATGTTTCGTTTCACGGGCAGCAGTGAAATCACAGTTGCAGTGCTCTGCCGATCGCTTTGTTGAAATGGACGAGCACGTATATGTACAGATGTGTCAACTCGGCTGAGTGGGCTTTTTGTAGCATCCAACTACAGTATCGTCACCCTCGTGTCGTAAATCACACGAATGACGAAATGGACTGGACACATTTCACACCATTCCAGCTGAACCGAAGGTGTTGTTCTGCAGGCATCACGGAGGGAAGGGAAGGGGAAATAGGAAGCTGCCTGCCTCTGCAATTCTAGGTTCTAAAGGCCGGTCAGCCCTTAAAATGCCGACGTGGCAGTCATGAAAGGGAAATGCCTGCAGAACAGTCATTTCCCTTCAGCACCTTCCTCCTCGGGCAAATTTATTTGCCTCCGCCCTGCCATCGGCCACCCGCCCTTCACGGGGAAGTGCGACGGTGTCGAGAGGGAGGTGCTCGGCGTGGGAACACCAGTCTTCCACCCAAGAAAAACGGTCGCATTCTGTAGGCATACGACGAGGGAGGGAGGAGGGGGGGCGAAGGTAAATGACGAGGGTTCCTAAGCAGTTTCCCCTTCGATATCACCCCCCCCCCCCTGCTACAACCGAAAGCGGAAAATTTTGGATTCTTGGGTGGAAGACTCTTAAAGTAAATGAAGAAAAGACAAGAACAATTTCGCACGCACACTTCGTGGGTAGATAGAGCTTCGCCAAATCAGAATGAGGGTTGAAGTTGAGAGAAGGGTATCAGATGGAAGAAATTCGACCCCCAGCACACCCACCTGCAAGACACAAAACTTGATATTTTTCCTGCTAGTGTTGTTGCGTCCCTGTTTTGGCTATTCGAGGTTAGGGGTGTGTCAGAATGTGTTATTGTCCAGTCTGCAGTGGGGTACTCTATAGTGAGTACATCCCAAATTAGGGTTTGCTATATGTATCCTATCTGCTGCTAGTGAAAACCCTTTTTCTGTTTCTAAACTTTCTGCTGGTGATTCTGACATGCTATCAGAGTGTCTACGCTCCTGGCCTGTGGGCCCACCTGCATCTGCTGTTGTCTGTCTGTTGCGCGCCCCGTGGCGCGCGACATTTTTTTTCTTCCCGCCACGCGCCCCGAGCGCGTGGCGACGGTCGGGGCGCACCGCGGCTTACTGCCTCACGCGTCACCCCGGGGACCCGCGCGTCCCTCCCCATCGACCGTCGCGTCACCCCGGGGACCCGCGCGTCCCTTCCCGTCGACCTTCGCGCCGCCCCCGGGGACCCGCGCGCGCCCCCTGCGATCCCGTCGCGTCGCCCTGGGGACCCGCGCACGGCCCCCGCCATCCCTTCGCGCCGCCCTGGGGACCCGCGCACGCCCCTTGTGCTCCCGTTGCGCCGCCCCGTGCCCCCGTGCGCCGCGAGGCTTCTTCCTCCCCGCGGGTGGCAAGTGTAGGGGTGGCGAGTATGGGGGTGACGGGTGTGTGAGGCCTCCCCTGCTCCTCCTCCTCCTCCTCCTCCGTCTCCCACTGCTGCAGTTACCGCTGAGGAGGGTGGGTGTGTGGGAGCCGAGGGAGTGGCGCTAGGGGAGTGTCGTGAGAGTGGAGCTAGGGGTGCATAGGGGGGGTGTGTGAAAGGGGGTCTGCGACAGTGGGGGAGGTTGAGCGGAGGTAGCCGTCATGTCGCAAGCGGCGCCAGTAGTCCGGAGCCGGTGTGCTCCAGTAGCCCAGCGAGCCTGCTGCGCCAGTTGCCCGTGGGTCCATTGCTCCTGCCGCTCGTCTTAGCTGCGGAGCCAGTTACTCCTGTAGTCCAGGGCCCTTGCTCCGGTAGCCACCGTGTGCGGGCTCCTGTTGCCCGTGTGTCTGCGGCTTCATCCGTCACCTCCTATCTCCACTCCTCTCACAGTCCCTCCTCCTCCGCACTTGCCCTCTGTGACTGCCTCTAGCTTTGCTTGTGCTTGTGAACTCTTATGCAACTGCTTGCTGTGCTGATTATACCCCACTTTGCCTATGGGGGTGTGTCAGAATGTGTTATTGTCTAGTCTGCAGTGGGGTACTCTATAGTAGTTACAACCCAAATTAGGGTTTGCTATATGTATCCTATCTGCTGCTAGTGAAAACCCTCTTTCTGTTTCTAAACTTTCTGCTAGTGATTCTGACAGGATGTTGGCTTTATAAGGTTCCGGTGTGGTGCTCCCTAACCCATCGCCTCCCTTCTCCCTTCGTCGCACATCCCCGAACAAGGAGTTTTCGAAGGGCGGGACGAAGGAGGCAAAATTTGCCAGCGTAGGAAGGTGGGGAGGGCAAATGGGAGGCTTCCTACGTCCTCATATCCGCGAGGGTAAATGGTTGTTCTGTTGCCATTTACCTTCGTTTACGTTCGAAGGGTAAATAGGAGGCTCGGAACCATTTTCCGAGCTGACCGCCTTTTCGACCCAAAAAACGCAGTTGGGGGAAGGTTCCTATTTACCGCCTCCCCCCCCTCTGTCGTGCCTGCAGAACGCAGCCAACGTATTCTACAGCACGGTCTAACCCTAGCTTGGTGGCACCTCCCAAATCGAAAAATAAAACACATCCCAACCACCTTATCGCTGATAAGGTGTTACATGTGCGTAAGAACTACGTTGGGCCGTGCTGGGCCGCTGCGGCCCAGGATCTGCGCGGACGAGCGAACGGCCCAGGTGTGGACCCGAATTGCACCCGCCCACAGACCAGCATTTACAGTGCGAGGCGCACGTACGAAAACGACGCTCGACACGCAGGACCATTTCCAGAGAGACCCAAGGCGATAGGAATCGCATGCAAAAACTGCGTTGTGACTATTTCGCCAAAAGTATCTATTGTGTGCGACATCTTGTTCAAGCGTGACCAGGTACACTTTTGTTTTCGTCAACACTTCGTTTTCGAAGGTGCAAAGCACTGTGCATAGCTGGTCCGCCAGAAATGGCCCCCGGTACCACGTGTCAGAATGTTATCTTGTCTAGCCTGCAGTGGGGTGCTCCATAGCGAGTACAACCCAGTTAGGGTTTGCTATTTGTATCCAACTGCTTGCTAGTGAACTCCTCTCTTTCTCCATTCCTGTTTCATACTTTTAACATGCTATCAGAGCAGGTCGATCCCCTTGGATCGATCCTGTGGGTGGGCTTACCACCTTCTCGCTTCCGCTGCTACTACTGCAACTACCCTCTGAGCCGCACGCCCCGGGGCGTGCGGCATTTTTCTTCCCGCCGTGCGCCCCGAGGCGCGCGGCGGTTTTCTGCCCGCCGTGCGCCCCGAGGCGCGCGGCGGTTCTCTGCCCGCTGTGCGCCCCGAGGCGACGCGCCGGTCGACGGGGACCCGTTCGTCGCCCCCCGTCGCCCGTCGTGGCCTGCGCGCGGCACGTACGGGCCGCGCCCGACCCGTCTGCGGCCTGTACGGGCTGCGCCAGGCCCGCGCACCACCCGTACGGGCTGCGCCAGGCCCGCGCGCGACCCGTACGGGCGTCGCCAGGCCCGCGCGCGGCTCGAGCCGGCTGCGCGCGGCTCGGGCGACCCTACCTGCGGCCCCGTCGTCCCGCCGCCCTACAGGCCCGACCCCGTCGCCCTACCTCCGGCACGTGCACCCAACCCCCCCTTTTCCCGTCGCCCGTCGCGGCTCCTTCTGGGGCCGCAAGCGGCCCCCCTCAGGTCGCCACGACAGGCGACGGGAGGGGCGAGTAGAGGGTGGCGGGTATGGGGGTGGCGGTTGTGCCCTCCTCCCTTTGCTCCTCCTCCTCCTTCGTCTCCCACTGCTGCAGCTGTCGCTGAGGGGGGTGGATGTGTGGGAGACTGGGGTTTAGGGTTTAAGGGGGGTGCGTGGGAGTGGAGCTAGGGGGGTGTAGCAGTGGGTGTGTGAGAGGGGCGTTGGGCAGCTGGGGGAGGTTGAGTGGAGGCAGCCGTCGTGTCGTCCGCAGTGCCTGTATTCCAGGGTGCTTGCCTCGGTAGCG